GGGTCTGCCCCCGCCATGGGCGAAGTGCCGCGGTCAGGGCTCGCCTGCCTCCGGACTCGCCTTTCCTCCCTGCCCTTTGCCGTTGTTGTTGCCAAAGTGAGCCGTCGCGGTGAGTCAACGCGATAGCGATCTAACTGACATCATTCAGACAGAGAGAGAGAGAGAGATTATATATACATATTCACACAAGGGATGTATTTTGGGGCTGACGATGGTGTCAGCCCGTGGTGCCCTGCTGAAGCCCGGGGGATGCGTTGGCACTGCGAGCGCGGCTCCCTGCACCCCTCCTGCTCCCTGCGCCCCGGCCGGCTCCAACCACAGCCCCGGGCCTGGAGGAGACTGACAAAGCACCCAGAAAAAGGCTTCCTCCTCTTTTCCCTCCCTTGGGAATGCACCGTGTGGCCTGAACAAGCCAGGCACGTGCTGGAAAAGGGCAGATTTTAGGGTGAAAACAGGCGCCGGCGTCCCTGCATGGGTGAGCTGGGGCGCGGGGACTGGCAAAGCTCAGCGCTTCGCTGCCGGTGGCATCCCTGCGCCGGCCTGTGACCTGCCCGCGCCGCAGGGTTAGCGACATTTGGATGCGGGTCGAGGGGATGTGGCAGCCCCCCAGCCCCTTGGGCGGGGGGACACCCCAGGTACCTACTGGATTTTCTTGGTGAAGTTCTTGGAGACGATCCCTCCTTCCACCTGCTGCTCCTCGTGTTTGCCTGCAGGGAAGGGACAACACCCCACGTCACCGCCGCACCGGGAGATTATTTTTTCCCCAACAAACAACAACAAGAGCCAAGAGGAAAGTTTTCAGAGGAGTTGTTTCCCTTCGCAAGTGCAAACCCTTCCCCCTGGGGAGGGCTCAGGGAGCATCTCCTGCGTGGGCAAGGAGATGCCGGACACAGCACACCCATATTTCCAGTGAGAGCCTCAGGACTCGCAGGCTGCCGAGAGCTGGGGCTTAAGAAAAAGCCCCTCCCAGATGTAATAAAACATTTAGAGGTGGCAGTGTCCCCCCTTGTCCCAGGCTGGGCTGCCCTCCGCTGTGCTGTCAGGCTGCGGATCCCTGTGCCCACAGCATCTCCGAAGTTAAAACCACATTGGTGGCTGCCCGACCCCC